CCCGAGTAAAGGGGCATGGAAAGAGAGCCGGGCGGAGGGAGCGGGTCCCCAGGGAGATGACGGCGGCGGAGCCACTGCTGCTGGGTTTCTGCTGCAGGGTGGGAGCCCGTCCCGTCTCGTGACCTACTCCAAAATGAGCCCCGAAGCCCTTAGTCCATAACGAGACTGAAAGCCAAATGCTCACCTGTCAGAGACGACAGTTGTGCATTTGGCAAATACAGAAATTTGGAGACTTCCAGGCAAATCTATGGAATAAAGAACAAAAAGAGGTGGTAGATGAACACGGGGGTCTGCCGGCATCAGGCATCCCCCGAACGCCTCTGATGCGTCCCCATCGGCCGGCCGCGCGGCAGCCAGGGCTCAGGCGATGGCAGCGTTCAGTGACCACGGGGCTGCGGGGAGACCTGGCAAAGCACCAGCTTGGCTTAAAGTGCTCTAATTCTTACAGAACTGTAGAACTTCGTCTTCTCCTGTCTCACGTCTTTACAGACTTTATCTTACCTTAGCGATGGCAGCCTCCTTGTCCACGTCCGGACTAGAGGACGTGCTGGATGAAAAGAATAGAACAGAAGATGTTAGGCGAGAACCAGCTCAGCCAAGGGTTGGTGAGCATCTTTTATCTGACCAAAAGGCACCCACAGACAGTATTACCATTATTTTTGATTGTCTATTAAGCTACGATTACAATTCAGAATCCTAAAACGCTGAAGAATTGCTGTTGGACTTGCATTAAAAATGTTCCTGCTACAGTGCTTTAAAAGATCCGTTCCCTTAAGAGAGAATGAAACTCTCTTAAAATGGGGGAAACCAACCCTGCAAGGAGGACAAAGTTCCTCCCATGAAGATAAAGTTTTTGTGTTAACCTTTGTAAGCTTTTAGGGCAGTGGGCAGATCTTAGTTGTATCACCTTCCCGCCTAGAAATGCTTGTGCCTCAGTTTCTTCTTTTCCCCTGCTACCCAAATGCCATAACAAGAAAAACCGCGGGGTCAACCTTTCCATCTCCTCGGTGCCCTGCATCTCCTCCTCGCTGGGTTTGCAGGAAGAGGACACCAGCTCCAGGTTCCCTTCGGGGTTCATCTCCACGTGGAGCTCCGCCAGGATGGACAGCCTCATCACCTCGGTGGTCGAGCTGTGCCAGGGGAGGAGAGGCGGAGGCTGGAGCGCGGGCGCTGCTCCCGGCCCCGCTC